CATGAGAAGTTTGGCTTTGAGATGAGCCAAAGCGACTATAATCCCTGCCCCTGCCCATCTGACAATATTTTGTTGCCCAAATTCAATTGATATCATTCATGTGGAAGTACTTAACAAGCTATAAGCCAAAATACTAAAAATACAGTTCCATAGTTGTTAATATAGATAAGAGGAGCCCTCGTCTGTGTTATCAGTCTGTGCTATTTAATTACGATCCTTAGCAGACTTACTATTAGGTATCACCTTAAACACTATAATCTAACACTCAGGGGATGATGGTTTTGAGACGTTCCTTTAGTCTAATATACTAATAATTACTACTTTTATTTAAACATTTCCTTAATGACTGTCTTCGGGCTCTTAATTAACACACAGAAAACTACAATTAGAAACTGAAAGGGAAGTACAATTTGATGTAGAAAATATCGCTAACCCTATTCGATAATTACATTATATGATCTCCTCTGGAAATTGTGGCAAAACTATTTTACGGCTTAAAGAAGGGGAAATTGAGCTATGTTTATAGATGTTTGCAAACGAATGTTTTAATATAACTATTTTTTTGGTAATTTCAATATTAATAAAGGAAAACAATTCATCTAAACAAGATATTTTTTGTTATATCTGAGTGATCAGGAAACAAATATCGATGCAAGAACACTATTTTACAAAAAGGACTAAGAACGAAGTCTAATCCCAAATAGATAAAAACGAAGTATGCTTGTGTTTAGGTATAAAAATGTTCTAGATTGACCTGAGATCCCATATTCTCACACATACAATGAAAAGGTTTTGCTTTGTACTAAGTAGATCAGTTAAAAAAACTGTTCAACATAAAATCTTGGAAAATCAGGATTCATTAATAAGCAATAGTATGTATGTAGTAGCAAGATTCTTTACCATATTTAGTTGCTAAAATTTTAATTATTTTATACCATTTTGTGCTTAAAGAAATATAAAAATAAACCTCAAAGAAGGCTATATCGTATCCTCTTTAAAAAATTAAAGTAAAAATTTGAAAATTCTCATATTCAGTAGAACCCAGCTATAGGAAACACAATTAGATCACTGGGTACACCCAATCTAGTCTCCCACTTACTCTCATTAAAGTTCTAGAAAGTTAACAATTTCTTAAGACGAAGACTATGATAATATTATATATATATTGAGAGTAAGCGTCATAAAGATTATATCTGTGAAAAATTTCTGCAAGAAGAAGAGGTTCTCTGCACAACCCAACATTCTATCAAACTACTGCTGTCCATACTTTTCCAGTGATTTGAGGTTGACGTACGAATAGCAAATTAATTTAATGTTAGTTCAAAAAAATTAGTTACAAATAGAGAAATCAGTTAAAATTTATACCCAAATTTCATGTCAAAACCCCAGAAACACGATTTCTTCATTAGCACTCTCTGTCAGAAGCACTGTAGCCTCTCTTTTTAGTCTATTATGACCATGAAGATCGCTTGCACTTTTCCAAAAGAACTGGGACATCCATAAGGAAAATGTTCATGTATAGCTTTAAAATATGCAAATAATTTATGTAACTACCCTTTTGTTTAGAAAAATGTCCCAAATAAATTAATAAGAATCTCTTGCTGAATCTGCATATTCTTCAAATATGAATCATTACTGTGAAATTCACAATATAGTCAATATTAACTGTATTTCAATATTCTGCATACAACTCTTTACATTTGAAAATGTATAGCCAAAATGAAAATTATCTTCAATTGATTATAACTTCTATGTGACCCTGCAAAACTGAACACGAGTTAAAAGAAATAGTGTTCTCAGAACATACAATTGATTTTTAACAAAAGTTTGCAACATCAAATGAAGGTCCCTTCTACATTGGTAATCTCCGCACTTTTAACTCTTAAGACCCCATCCCACACTGTTTGTCAGCACCTTTCTTAAATTCCTTCTAGAAGTTACCATCAGGACTAACAGATTTTATTTTCTGCATTTCTTCAGCGGTGCTAAAAATTCACTCTTTCAGTAGATATTTAGAAATGGCCAAAAGTGATTTGGAAATATGTCTGATGTACCACTTTGGGTCAAAACTGATATAAAATATAAGTACTGCATTAAGGAATTATTTTGCATGTCTTAGAGTTTCATTCTGAAGGAAAATTTAAAAGACAAGTTCCAAAATCATTCTAGATATTTTTAAAAGTACCCTAATCTTATGGAAAATTATTTTAAGTAGAAAATTCAGTTTTCTATGTATGGATAATATATATATAGTTTATAAAATGCTCTCTTTAAAATATAACAGCTATACTTATGTTATTCTTCATACTTATTTTACATTGTGAATATATTAAATGTCACCACAGTAAAACATAAATAAAATTTACATATATTTGTATTAGTTGCATAATACTATAACATTATACAAGAATGATTTACCTTTATCTTAATTTTTGATATGTGGTAAAGATATGTGGGTAAAAGAAATAGACTTCACATGAGGCCCTAAATGATGTACCCTGATTCAGCTCTCACTTTCCTTTCTATAAATAAAAGGACAAGAGTGCATGTGTTTTATACGGTTATGAGTTTTATTATAACTGCATAGCCCAAACTTGAGAAAGGAAATTCTGGGCTTGTAAATTTAAGAGCTTTACTGGGATAACTGTTGAGAAACCTGATTTAGAGAAACCTTGATTTGTCTTTCAGCTTCCTGAGCTACACCAATAAACTCTGGTTTTGGGCTCTATGCTAGCGGAGCTACCATGAATTAGGGTTAGGGGTCCCCCTGACATACACCTGGAAAGGTCCTCCAGGCACTTACTGTGTATCTGACTTAACTCACAATTTGCACAATCACGTAAGATAAATATTATGCAATTTCTTCTGTGAAAGACAAAAAAAGGAAAAGAAATTAGAATCTTTGAGTCTACTTTTTAATAATTATGTAAATTATTTGATTGAATGGAGGAGAGCTATGTTCTAGTTATAGCTCAAATTTGAGCCTAATCTTGTATCAGTTAGACCATATCTTCATTGGCATAGCAAATGACAGCTTAACATTTAATCAATACAGTCAATCAAAGAGGAATGTCTCAAATCATACTCCTAACCCTTACTGGTCTTTGCTTTCTACACAGTTCAGCATTTTGCCTCAGAAGTATTATTTTCTGACCAAAATTACCAATGCCATTATCTCAACTACTGCCTTATTTTTGCTATGCTAAACAGAATTTAATCAATTAATATTTATTAAAGATCTAATCTATGTCCTGATTTTTCTCTATGCCTCCAAAAGTTAGAGCTAAAAGGGCAATAATCTAGAAAATCCTATTATCACTAATCACATGATCATTTTAATCCTGTGTGTAGTTTCAATTACCAAAAACAAACACCTTCCCTTCATTTCTAAAGTTTAACTGCTCTTTGAATAATTCAGTGTATGCTACTACCAGATGATCTGAGGTAAGGTATGCTTGATATTTGTCAAATGAGACCATTTAAAAGTATGGATTTCATATCAGCTTATAAAAATGAAAAAGTGATGATGTAGCTTGTAGGGGAAATTATATAACAGCTACAAGAATATTTTTTAGATCATATAATTTTATGTAACATGAATATGTCATTATCAAACTCATCAGTTAATCCACCTAGCAACACACATCTAAACAACCACCTTTTAGTATTTTGCATTGTCTATGTATTCATCAACTTGTAAACCCAATCCTCAGCTGTCATATTTGCTTGTTTTTATTTTTAACCAAATACAGTCTTGGGGCTCATTAGCAGAAGGAACTGAATTGATTTCCTAGAAAGATCACTGAACTTTTTAATGCCATCACGGCAATTAATGCAAAAAAAAATTCATACATCGAATTTATGCTCCAGAATGCAGGCGGGTTCTGTAAAAAGCTGACATGTACAACAAAAACATTTCCTATATTTGGTTATAATATCCTTGTAAACCTATCCTTTGAAAAATGAAAAAAGAAATCTTGTTTAGAAATAGCATTATCCCTGCTTTTCATAAATTACTTATATCTGGAAATGACCATAGTAGTATGACAATGACAATTTGAAAGAAGTTTGTTCACAATTGATGTCAATAACATATTTTGCTCAGATTTGAAGCACTAAGTGTTACCAAAAATTCACTTTAATTCATTCTTTAAAAAGAAAAAAAGTTTTGCTAGTTTTTTACTTTTACCTCACTCAAAAAAAGTTAAAGTTAAAAAATAAAAGTTTGGGGCTGGCCCGGTGGCGCAGCTGTTAAGTTCGCACGTTCCGCTTCTCGGCGGCCCGGGGTTCGCTGGTTTGGATCCCGGGTGCGGACATGGCACCATTTGGCACGCCATGCTGTGGTAGGTGTCCCATGTATAAAGTAGAGGAAGATGGGCATGGATGCTAGCTCAGGGCCAGTCTTCCTCAGCAAAAAGAGGAAGATTGGCAGTAGTTAGCTCAGGGCTGATCTTACTCAAAAATAAATAAATAATAAATAAATAAATAAATAAAAGTTCCCCTTAGGAGACATTTTAATAATAAGTGAGAAAAGCAACATAGAAAATGTCAAATGTATTATTAGCAAATAGGTACGCTGATGAAATCTTCCACATAATTTTAGTCTGTTTGGAAAAATGTATTGCAAGAATTATTTAAAGTCAGATTATAATCACTTTACATATATTAAATGATTGCTTACATTTCCAATTATTTCTGCAAACCTTGTTTTCTTAAATTATTTGGACAAATGCTAGCAGGATTTGCATTAAATTTGATTTCTCTGCCCTAGATTGATAAAATATTCTACCACGTCCCATTTTCTTCCATTGGACTCAAAGTTGAACTTCCTCTAATAATTTGCTTAGCATTAAGAAAGAATAATAAAAAGCTCTCAAACTCACTTTAATTTAAATTTGCATTCAGGAAGTGCTTGTCTGATATAATTCAGCTGATAAATATGAACCTATGTGTTTATCAAATCCCTAAGAAGATTATCTAAATCAACTCCGTGTAATTACCATTCACCATCTGTTCCACCAGGGCCTGAGCTGATCTGCTGGCATCTTGCAGTTTTCTGAACTTCTCGGCTTTTTCTCGCTCGATGGCCTGCAGCATGATAGCAAAGGTGAGTATTTCAATACAAGGACAGTGAAGCTACACAGTAATTATAACTTCTACTTGCCCTTTCAAGCCTTAAGATATTTCACTCTGTCAGCTTATGTGAATCTAAAGATTTTTTCTCAAGTTTCTTGGCACCAGAAGCATCAAAATGATAATGAAAGCACAAGTCATTTTCATATCAAATTGCTACTATTTTTTAATAAGAGTTCTTCTCTTAACCTTTCTTTACATAATAGTCTCTGATGCATTGTAATGGAAGACTGCCAAAAACGAAAAAGAACCAACAAAGGAAAATCATGACAGACAACAAAAGGATAAAGCGCCAGATAATTAAAATATAATTTACCTTTTAAATATACACCTCTGAAATTATTCCTAATAACATAAGTACATATTCTGTATTAAAAATCAAATAGAAAATTCAGTAAGTACATACAATGGGAAAAACATACTAGCACGAATAATTTAGAAAAAAATATGTATCTCAATAGAAAATTGTGGGTTAATTTTTCTCTCTAAAATCATCAAAGTACTCCCAATGCAAAGAAAAACAGATTCAGTTTCAAAAAGCTTTCTAAATTCCTTTGTTCATTTCTCCTAACCAGGGTTAAGTTTTGAACAACAAAACACAATTACTTAAATCAACAAAAACTAGCATTTGATACTGTTGAGTTTAGCTAAGAATGTCTCTACAGAAACATAAATTTTAAACATGATGCAGTAGAACTATATTACTATAGTCATTAAAAAGAGGTGGCTATAAGTATATGTGCTAAAACAACTATGCACCGAAAAAGCAAGCTGTAATGCATTTAACATATAGCAAAAGCAATACTTCTAGGACTCACTAATAGCATTATACAAATATTTCACTTGAGTCTGTGCAGGAGGTTATTCTACATCCGATTATTGTTCAAAACTTTATTTAGATCTATAGGCATTTAAACAAGTATTCCAAGGTGTAATATTGGAGTACAGGTCAGAGGCATGTAATAGATGCATGCACACTTTGCAGAACATTGTTCAGTAAAACTTCCTGCAAGGATGGAAATACTCTATATCTGCAGTGTACAATCCAGTAGCCACTAGCCACATGTGGGTATTGAGCACTTGAAATGTAGCAAGCATGACTGAGGAAATTAGTTTTTAACTTAATTTATTTAAATTTAAATAGCTACATGTGTCAAATGTCAATTCTAATTGTACAGTACAGAACTAGTGTCTTTCCTTGGAACTCAAATAGTAAAAGACAGATAGATATAGATATGTAGACATATATATAGTTATAGATAATATGGCAACATCAGAAATATTTTCAGAGAAATAAGTAATCATCCAGGCTAGATTATTTCCTAAGCACACCAAACAATAGGAATGCTCACAAAATAACCCATATATTTTTAAATATTTGAAAAGATTCTCCAATTTAAAGAATGGACACAATTGATTAGAGGTCTTTTTCAAATTTACTTAAAAAAGAGTTTCAGGGACCGGCCCCGTGGCCCAGTGGTTAAGTTCGCGTGCTCCGCTTCGGCAGCCTGGGGTTTGCAGGTTCGGATCCCGGGCGCAGACATGGCACCGCTCATCAGGCCATGTTGAGGTAGCACCCCACATGTCACAACTAGAAGGACCCACAACTAAAATATACAACTATGTACTGGGGGGATTTGGGGAGAAAAAGAAATTAAAAAAAAAAGAAAAGAAAAAAAGAAAAGATTGACAACCGTTGTTAGCTCAGGTGCCAATCTTTAAAAAGCAAAAAAAAGAAAAAGAGTTTCACGAACCAGGATTAATGGATTCAAGGTCAAGAGTGCAAAATGCTAAAAGAGCCTAGAGACAATAGAATATATCCCATAATGAAAAGTTATAACACATAAAATCCTATTTAAAATTTAGCAGAATAAATGAAGACGGAAATAAAACAGCATAAAATAAGTCTTTTTTAAAGTACTTATAGTTTAGCTGGAAAATATACATTTTACATTATGCTGTCAAGGGCAGCAAATGAAAACTCGAGTTCATTTCATCAGTGGGGAAACTCCAAAGGTAATAGATACATTTTAATATCTTGGATTCTACTTGAAAGTTTCATAGCACACAGATTGTGGTGTGCGGGGATTTATATTCCCAGGATCCCATACCAATTAGCAGGTGAAACTTCTGGGTTATCCTGAAAGTCAGTTTCACAAAGACATTATTGAATTGTTTACTAAAGCATGTGGACAACCATGGAAGCTTCTAGCTTGTTACTTGAACTGAAAAGTCCATGAAAATAAAGTAGCCACAGTATCTTTCTAAAGGTAAGAACCTACACAAAGCTCTCAAACTCATATTTTCTCAACTCATATCTTGTCTTCTAAATTCTTTGTCCTTAGCAGCTTATTGGCATACATGTTTTCTAATACTTTAAAGTTGTTATCTATTAAAAGGTAAACGCTATTTATAAAGGACTCCGAGCACTTCAAAAGAGAAATAATAATAAACACATTCTAAGTAAATATATAATATTCACAACTATCAGGAGCTACAGCAGGATTTGGGGTGCCCAAAATTTGAATTACATCATCAAAAAAAAAATAAATAAAAGAGACAGAAAAAAATACTTATGGTACAACAAAATGACAATAAGAACAATGACAATAATTGCTGTTCTTTGAGTTTTAGATTTATCCTTTTCTATCAGAATAGTTTCTATTTTATCTACATTAAGTTTTTGCTATTTTCTTAAATGGTATTATATAAAGAAATCAGAACATCATGGTGTCTTCATAAATGATGAAAAGAAATTATCAATGGTCTTCTAAATGTCACGATCATAATCTCTTTATTCTAAGCATCTAACAGATCAATTACCAACAGAGAGACAAACTTATGATTGAATATCTTAGGGATAATATTTAAACTTAAGTATCTTGTTTAGTTAACCACATTATTCCAGTAATTCTAACATAAATAATAACAACAACCACTACAAAACAAGAATCTATGAAGTAGGTACTATTACTCTGCCAATTTGACAGAGGGAGAAAGTGAGGCACAGAGATGTTTGTGGATAAAACAGTGGTATAACCATGATAAAAATGTAGTTCTTATGCTGTCTATCAAACTACAGTTTATGTACATTGCTTCATATATATGTCATAATAATTCTGTGAGATAGGAGTCAGTATTATTTTATCGTATTTTATACAAGAGAAAACTAAGCATCAATAAGTCATATATCCAAGATAATAGAAGTAGAATGTTTTAGATGCGACATTACAACACTGATCATCTATTTATAAATTCAGCTCTCTATCAAGCATACTTTGCTGCTTCTAGGGGTATTTCAACGGAAATTAATCAGATTTGAACATATCTGACTACAACCCACAGCAAAGGTGACCTGATAGTTTGGATATAGTTAAGGATGATATGCAAAATATTTAACTATTAATGCAGCATGGGCACCAAGATGATAGAAGGAATGCCTGGTCACTTAGAATGGACACTGCCAGTCTATAGGCTGATTGGCAACTCTGTGTACAGCTCAATTACGGTAGCTCATTGTCAGATGTATATTATAGGCAAACTGAGTAACTGGTGCATAAATAGAGAATAGACCCAAGACAGAAGCAGTTAATGGCCTCCACATATTTGTCAATGTTTAGATATATATGGGTTCTGTTAAGTAACATAACTTTAAAGAGAAATATTGGAAAATAAAGAGAAATATTGACACAAATATACCTTGAGGAGTGTGAACAAGAGAGTGAAAAGTCCAGAAAACATTTCATTCAGACACAGCTATAGATGGTTGATTAAAAATGAGAAAATTTAGGGTAGCAAAGAGACAGTAAAGGAGGCATAAGGAAAAGCTTTGGAGTCATTCTGTTCTCGGTTGGTTTGAATTCTGTCTCCACTGCTTACCAGCTGTTTGACACTTGAGAAATGTTTCAACCATTCTGAGCCTCAATATTTTCTATGTAAAATAACAATAAAGATACCTACCCTCTAGAGATTCTGAGGAGATTCAAGGAGGCTCTTCATATAATTTATTGCCCAAATTGGGATACTTTTTATAGTAAAATGGGAAGCTAGACATAATTAAGCTAATAAATGGAATGACATAAACTGAGAACACCCCAGACAGACTAGCACATGTGGTCATTCTAACGCAAGGTGATCTCAATAATCTTAAAAACAAGTTTAGGAAAAATTTTTGTGACAAGAGTTAGAGCACCTTGCTCCCAGAAACGTGGGAAGTGTCCAAATAACCACACATACAAAGTGGTAAAGAAGTTCACTCAATATAAACATCACTGAAACTCCTTTTTGCTCCTGGATCTGGCCACACATGCATTTGTTCTCAAATGAAATATATGAACCTCTGCTTTGAAATAGGTAGGATTACTAGTTTCTAATGCTTCTAGCTTCTCTTATTTTCTCAAAGAGCTATATGTACAATGCACAGAAAAAACAAAGTCTGGAGAGAAATATAGCTCTGGAAAAGGGAGGGCATACTTTAAAAAAATTGTGTCATGAAAGAGAAACATCAGCCTTCCACAGGTCCACCTTGTGAAGTAAAAACTAGCCCTCACACCTATTCCCTAACTCAGCTCCATCAAAACTGCTGCTATTGATGTCACCATTAGCGTCCAAGCTGCTACATTCAATGGCCAATTCTCAGTCCTCAGCTTACTATTATCATAATTTGATTCAGAGGATACATATTCTTGGAAACATTTATTTGCCTTACTGGACTACAAGCACACCAAGTTTTCCTCCTACCTCAAGGGCTGCCTTTACTCAATCTCCTTTGCTGGTTCCTCCTCATCTCCCTGACCTCTAAATTTAGCATGTCCTAGGGCCCGATCCATACTTCCATTTGTTCAGACCAAAAACTTAGAATCCTTCTTGACTCTTCTCTTTCTTTCAAACCCCATATTCAATCCATGAGAAAATTCTGTTGGCTGTAACCTCAAAACACATCCAGAAAGTGATGT